TTTTTGTGAAAGTGACAAGATGTGATAATTTATTAAAAAATGTGACATTAATTTAACAAAATCATTTTCGAGTTTTTAAATCATTATCGAGTTTTAAGTTAGAAATTAATGAGTATTTTGATGTTTGAAAATGTTGATATATTGAATTTTTATACTAGTAGATCACACATGATGATGTGATTTGTGTAACAAAATACAAAGGATATTATAATGTTTTAAACAGAGTTGCGTGTAAAACCTGCAATCTTATATTTACTTTAACTTTCAAATGTAATTTTGAATCAGTAATATGAAATGTGTAAACTAGCATATTAAAACTATGATAAAATTATCAGGTATGGAAATGTTCTGCAATATACATGTAAATATACAATGTATATGTAAAAGATGGATGTAAATTTCCTATTTGAATATACTTGATTATCTTTTTTTTTTAAATGATATTTTAACATGATGATTATACCAGTTATTGTTGAATTAAGTATTTCTATATGAAAATGTTCTCACAGAAAAATGTTTTTAAAGAAAAGTTTGTGAACTAACCATTCCTTAAAGATCCTGTATGTTGTTATTAAGGTTGTTACAACACTTAAGTGAAATTTTATATATGTATATAATTATGCTTCTAAAACAACTTTCAAACATCGAAGAATATGTAAAATATGTACTGCAAATATTTGTCCACATTATATGTAATCATTAAAATATATGCATTCATTTCTTATTGAAAAATTTGACTTAGACTTTATAGAAATAAATTTCTAATTACCTCCCTTTATTAACATGAAATGTAAATTCGGTAATATCTTTACAAATAATGCTTTTTGGAACTTTAAATATTGATAAATCTTCATTTGAGCATTATATTTATGATATAAAACCGTAAAAAATGAGTTACAGGAGCTTTAAGTGATATTTTGTTGCTGGGACTATCCCTTACAAAGGCCAAACCTGTGTTTGAATAGATTTATAGAGCATGTTATATGCTTAACTTGTGAGGAAAGCAGTTATAAATATGAAATAATTTGTCTTTGTCATAAAAATAGCAATTGTCTTTCATACAAAAATACTAATTCTTTATAAGTTTACTATAAAGTTGGTTCAGCTATGTGGCCAATGAGTTACTTCAGTAACTGTAACAGAACTCCAAATACAAAGAAATTTTCTTTTTAAGAAATCAATTTTTTGGGGAATAATAGACAGTTTTAAATAATAGAGGATTAATGCATTTACATATAGATAAGGATGAAAACACATTTAAAGTCCATTTGAGCCTGCAGGACTAGGGATTTTTCAATGTCAATGCAAGAAAAAATATACAGTCATATTAGCATTACTCTTGCATAAAAATATATTTTTCATTAATTTGGTAATTTTGTGTTCTGTTATTTGTTGTTTTTTCCCCAAAGAAACTACTTTTGTAATATATTTAATGTGCAAGTGTGATGTCATTTCACGGGCTTGATAATGAAATTGTCAGGGCGTGCTGTCCTTGCTGTTAGCTGTTTTTATATGGGGCCCTGAATAGCACATATAAAAAACATGCAACATTACAATAGCCCTTGTTAATGGGATTTTATCGAGTTAATGAAGCCAAGTTTTTTTTCTCTGTTAATGTAGATCTGTGCCATTCTGTGGTGCAGTTCTTATGCAAAAATATTTTGTATACAAACAATATCAGTAGGGTTATTATATATTATTAAAATAATAATGTTTTTATCTATTTATAATATTCCAATGAAAGTTTGCATGTTTAGTGAGTTTGAATATCAAGACATTGTGCAGTGAACATTTAAAATGTTGAAATAAAAGTTGTATAAATTTGAAAATTTAAGAAATACCTATGAAAGTTTTAACTATTCAATTCGAAAGTCAAGAGATTGTCAGTAAATTTTTTAAATGTTTAACAAACTTGAAAAAATCAAGAAATAACAACTAAAATGATCATATCATAAAGATTTTACAATAACAACTTATATTATTATCTGTCAATCAAATATCTAAATGTACAGTGAATAATTAGAGACTAATGAAGAAAAGTCATCATCTATAAAACCTTTATTGAAGAATTATGATAACAAAGATGTTCAAATTGATAAACAAAGGTTTTGAAGTGTACAGTGGAATACCACATGTGATCAATGACATAGATGAACAACTTTGAATGAAATTGAAATCTTTAAAACTAATTGTTTAACTATGAAACATGAAGATTTATCTGGTGCTGTCAGGTGCTCACAGATCAAGATCAGCTGATAAACACTTACGGTACCTTTCATTGTAGCTTCATGTAGTTTTCTTTGATATTGTCAGACAAAAACACTTTGACAACCACTGTTATATAGTTTTCATTGATATTGTCAGGCTAAAACACTTTGACAACCACTGTTATGTGGTTTTCATTACTATTGTCAGGCTAAAACTCTTTGACAAACATTGTTATGTAGTTTTCTTTGATATTGTCAGGCTAAAACACTTCAAATGCCACTGATATGTAGTTTTCATTGATATTGTCAGGCTAAATCACTTTGAAAGTCAGACTGTTTTGTAGTTTTCATTGATATTGTCAGGCTAAAACTCTTTGACAAACATTGTTATGTAGTTTTCATTGATATTGTCAGGCTAAAACACTTTGACAAACATTGTTATGTAGTTTTCATTGATATTGTCAGGCTAAAACACTTTGACAACCACTGTTATGTGGTTTTCATTAATATTGTCAGGCTAAAACACTTCAAATGCCACTGATATGTAGTTTTCATTGATATTGTCAGGCTAAAACACTTTGACAACCACTGTTATGTGGTTTTCATTAATATTGTGAGGCTAAAACTCTTTGACAAACATTGTTATGTAGTTTTCTTTGATATTGTCAGGCTAAAACACTTCAAATGCCACTGATATGTAGTTTTCATTGATATTGTCAGGCTAAATCACTTTGAAAGTCAGACTGTTTTGTAGTTTTTATTGATATTGTCAGGCTAAAACTCTTTGAAAAACATTGTTATGTAGTTTTTATTGATATTGTCAGGCTAAAACACTTTGAAAGTCAGACTGTTATGTGGTTTTCATTAATATTGTCAGGCTAAAACTCTTTGACAAACATTGTTATGTAGTTTTCATTGATATTGTCAGGCTAAAACACTTTGACAACCACTGTTATGTGGTTTTCATTGATATTGTCAGGCTAAAACACTTAAAATGCCACTGATATGTAGTTTTCGTTGATATTGTGAGGCTAAAACACTTTGAAAGTCAGACTGTTTTGTAGTTTTCATTGATATTGTCAGGCTTAAACTCTTTGAAATTCAGACTATTCTGTAGTTTGCTTTGATATTGTTAGGCTAAAACACTTCAAATGCCACTGATATGTAGTTCTATTGATATTGTCAGGCTAAAACACTTTGAAGGTCAGACTGTTCTGTAGTTTTCATTGATATTGTGAGGCAACCACTTTTATGTAGTTTTCATTGATATTGTCAGGCTAAAACACTTTGACAATTACTTTTATGTAGTTTTCATTAGTAGTGTGGGGCTAAAACACTTTGACAACCACTGTTCTGTAGTTTTCTTTGATATTGTCAGGCTAAAAGACTTTGAAAGTCAGACTGTTTTGTAGTTTTCTTTGATATTGTCAGAATAAAACACTTTGAAAGTCAGACTGTTGTGTATTTTTCTTTGATATTGTCAGGCTATAACACTTTGACGGCTTATTATTAATTTTATGTAGTTTTCATTTCATTAATATTGTGAGGCTAAAACACTTTGACAACCATTGTTGAGTAGTTTTCTTTGATATTTTGAGGCTAAAACATTTTGAAAGTCAGACTGTTCTGTAGTTTTCTTTGATATTGTGAGGCTAAAACACTTTGAAAGTCAGACTGTTCTGTAGTTTTCTTTGATATTGTGTGGCTAAAACACTTTGAAAGTCAGACTGTTCTGTAGTTTTCTTTGATATTGTCAGGCTAAAACACTTTGAAAGTCAGACTGTTCTGTAGTTTTCTTTCATAATGACAGGTTAAAACATTTTGATTTGAATTTGGATGTAGGTCAAATTTCAAGTTATATATTATTTGACCAGATGATACTGTTTAAAACTGGAATGTGCTGTGATCATTGATTTGCTGGTTCAATTATCTTTCTATCTTTTTATAAAAATACATCATCTTCATTTGGCTAATCTTTATATGACTGCCAATCTTGATACAAAGTTTAGGGCATACACACAAAGTTTTCCCCTGACTTTTCTGATATTTATCGAACAGAAATATGATTTTTAATCTTTATGCAATATAAATAACATGTGGTACAAAAACTGTACTGTACTGTAATAGTACAACTTATGAGTATTTACTTACAGCACTGAACTGTATGGTACAACACAGTTTAACGCAGAAAAAACACACACAAAGAGTGTATATCAGATGAGTGTTACTTTAAAATAGTATTGTGTACATAAAACAAATAACTATAACTAAAGCTGCACATTCAGCATTTGAAATTCAAATGCAATACAGGGTTTAAATTTTTAATGACTGACAGTCATTGTGTTGGTCTTTAAAGCGCCTTTAAATGAAAAGTTTTTAATAGTTCATGCATTTTTGTTAAAAAAAATAATAAAGATTAAGAAAAAATAATTACAACAACACACACACCATACACATGAACTCTCCCACTTTAGGCGGGAGATTCCAACTTTCTTCAGCCATATTTTCAAACATTTTTCTTAACATAAGGGATATTTTCACAATTTAAAGAAATCTCTCTATTTTTGATCTTTGTTTCTTGCAAATTCTAAAATCTCCCTCTTTTTGAAGAAAAATCTCCCACTTGATCATTGAAAAAAGTTCACATGTATGCACACACTTAAAATATTGAGACAAAGTCTATGCAGAGACATAATTATCTACATCTGATCTTATAAATAAGGGAAATAACTCTGTAGAATATATTTTTGTATACTGTCAGAGTTGTACACCTTGTATCATTTTTATTTTCAGGCTCACCAGCTGAGAGAGCAGAATTATTAGTGGGAGATGAAATAATTGAAGTAAATGGAAAATGTTTAGATAATGCATCACATGGAGAAGTCATAGCATATATTCATAAAGTAAGTTAATCTTCTTTAGTAACCTATTTAATTTTGTAAATACATACTAATAAACTTTAACCTATACTTAAAGTAAAATTTTCTTTCTTTTAAGTGTCTGTAATTTCACTCCTTTTTATGCCCCCACAATGTGGGAGCATATAGCGTTGCACTTGTCCGTCCGTCCGTCATTCCGTCCGTACGTCCCGAAATCTTGTGAACGCAACTCCTCTTAAACCGGATGGCAGATTTTGCTTAAACTTACAGGGATGAACAACCTTAATGTGTAGATGGTAGTAAAGGAAGGAATTTTTGCTGCGACCAAATTTAACAGAATTATGGCCCTTTGTTGATTTTTTCACTTTATACTATGTAGAAATTTTGTGAACGCAACTCCTCTAAAACCGGATGGCAGATTTTGCTTAAACTTACAGGGATGAACAACCTTAAGGTGTAGATGGTAGTAAAGGAAGGAATTTTTGCTGCGACCAAATTTAACAGAATTATGGCCCTTTGTTGATTTTTTCACTATATACTATGTAGAAATTTTGTGAACGCAACTCCTCTTAAACCGGATGGCAGATTTTGCTTAAACTTACAGGGATGAACAACCTTAAGGTGTAGATGGTAGTAAAGGAAGGAATTTTCGCTGCGACCAAATTTTACAGAATTATGGCCCTTTGTTGATTTTTTCACTATATACTATGTAGAAATTTTGTGAATGCAACTCCTCTTAAACCGGATGGTAGATTTTGCTTAAACTTCCAGGGATGAACAACCTTAATGTGTAGATGGTAGTAAAGGAAGGAATTTTTGCTGCGACCAAATTTAACAGAATTATGGCCCTTTGTTGTTTTTTTCACTCTATACTATGTAGAAATTTTGTGAACGCAACTCCTCTTAAACAAGATGGCAGATTTTGCTTAAACTTACAGGGATGAACAACCTTAAGGTGTAGATGGTAGTAAAGGAAGGAATTTTTGCTGTGACCAAATTTTACAGAATTATGGCCCTTTGTTGATTTTTTCACTATATACTATGTAGAAATTTTGTGAATGCAACTCCTCTTAAACCGGATGGCAGATTTTGCTTAAACTTCCAGGGATTAACAACCTTAATGTGTAGATCGTAGTAAAGGAAGGATTTTTTGCTGCGACCAAATTTAACAGAATTATGGCCCTTTGTTGATTTTTAGTTTTCAACTTGTGGCACATGTAGTCCAAAAAATATTTGACCTAGAGTCATAAGATTGACAGAACAGTGGCGTGTGGGGGCATCAGTGTCCTATGGACACATTTCTAGTTTATATTAATTATAAAGTAGTAAAGTAAACGTTTCCAACAAGATTATAACAGTTTTATAAAAACTGATGATTTTCCCCATATTTACCCAGAGTATCTCAGGTACTTTGATATTAAATATTTTGGCATGTTTAAGCGACTCTAAATATGACCCAGATTCAGTCCGCCATATTGAATACTTGGCATAGCTTTAGTGATTCTTTGATGTAAACACGATTGGATTTTAACATAATCTCATCGATTTACTGTATTTGAATATAATAGATCAACAAAGTATCAATTCTTGACTATTTTGTGTAGTTTATTGAAGTAGGACAGCTATTCCAATATTGTATTCAGGTGTCCGTGAGTGGGACTATTTTCACAGGTAAATTTGCTTTACACAGGTGAATAATATCCATTTATGTACTTGAAAATGACAGTTCAGATTTACATGTTCATTGAAATAGTATGTGTATTTCTGTCCATTTAGACATATTCCATAGTAGTTAGTACTGTTATGCTATTTTTGGAGGTCAATTAGATCCATTTGCTCCATTAACCATTTATTATCACACCCTCAGGTGGGCAATCTGCTGGAATAGGTCTATTTTATGCAGTACTTAGTCCAACTTATTGTACTGCGCGACGAGATATTGTGCTATTTTCGTGTCTTGGCAATATCTCCCCTCTAGTTAAAGCGAGATTCTGCCCCAGAACGAAAATATCTCAGAATCAAGCTTTGGCACGTCAATATATTTTGACTAATGCAGTACTGTACATGTAATTTACTATAGAATACAGAATGAGCCTACTATTCTATTTGTTGTGTAGACTCCAGGGTGTTGTCCAGGATAAATGCCTGTATGACAACAATTTAATTTTTACCATCAATTTTATAACTGTTAATCAATTTTTTAATTTGCTTGTATGAATTTCAAAAACTGGTTAAACATTATAAGTTTTAACATTTTTGTTTTTCATCTAAGGGGGGCATTAAAGTTTTTGATTAGACCCGTTCGGAAACCTAACCAGAATAACACAAATTGGGTTAACCTTGATTTAATTTGAAAATATATAGAATCTAGTCTACCCTTTTCCTAATTAATTCTTGTCATTTAGGAGCTTTGCAAGACCCTGTTAATTAGGCCAGGGTTTTTTATTACATGGGCAAGAGTGCTAAAATGAAATAATATTAAATTAAAAAGTAATTAATAAATCACTTCTTTTAATAATAAAAAGAAGTAATTTATAAAAAGGTTAGAAGCACAAGTCATGATACTGGTTTCTTAACCATCCGCTCAGATTTTGCCGTGAAGATCAAGGTCAGTCTTGTAGTCTAATGGTCAAACATTTTGGCAAGATAACTGCTAAGTGCTGTTGTATTTTTCTCACCTATTGGAAACTATAAGGTAGTGACTAATAAGTTCTTTTTATATGTTGATACTTGGCTTTATAGTTTAATAAGGATATGATTCGCTTTACTCCATGCTTAATGAATGAATATGAGCTCAGCATGTCAGATTCCTGGCATAATTATTGGTGGACTTTACTTACAGGTCTGTGTAATGTCACATTATATAAACGGGTTATGCTGAAGACATTTAAGTTAGTATGAAGCTGACAGTAACATGATCATAACATCTTTATAAGTTCTTACAATCCTTAAATGTGAAAGGATTATAATCTATAAAATTCATTCTTGATATTAAATATCTAATATGTGATCAAAGTTCCGATCTAGGTATAACTTAACTAGCTCTGCCTGCCATGTGACTACCTGTGCTTCATCATAAAATATTGATAACCTTAGAAGAAAGTAAAAGGGAGATGCTTCACAAACAATCCTATTTGATCCTGTAAAATAATGGAATCTTTCATTGATATTGTCAGTATAATATGTAAATAATGATCAGTTGACCAAATTGAGGACAAGCTGACTCATTTAGGACAAGTTGACCAGAAGTAGGGGACAAGTTGACCAAAAATATGGAAAGACAACGGAGGACATGACAAGTCATTAAAGATTTTCTTTTCTTTTTGTATAAATAAGCAGCCTAAAAGGCACTTAATTTTGAAATTTTCACCTTGACAAGAAAAAATCATAAGAAGTAAATCTGTACTTTCAAGTTTTTGAAATATATGCAAGATTGCAACAGATTGTATTGAATGGAATTTATCTATGATTTGTGTTTTGTGTAATAAATGGAAGACGTTTTATTTGAGTTATTATAAATAAAAGATCGAGAAAGATACCATTGATAACAGGATCTTTTCAAACAAATTACTGTTCATGTGCAAGAGTCTAAGAGATAATTTGAAGAATGAGGTCATGACCGTCCAATAATTATTAAAGAAGGACTACCGGTATCTAGACCAGAGTGAGAATGAAACTGAGAAAGCTTGAAATTTTTGTCTTGTCATGTAGAAAAGTTAGTCCATTGGCCATTGTTGTTTTGTAAATGTTTTTCATTTCTTTTTTGATATCTTTTCAATTGTAGAAGGAATTTTGAGAACAGAAGGTGAAAACCATACCATATCCTTTGAGAGTGAGAATAATTGCCAGATTAATTTGCTTTTTGTCTTTTTAGCTTGACTATTCAAAGAATTTAGAGAGTTGTTTACGCTCCATGGTGTCGATATCACACTTTGGTGAAGTTGGTATCTCCAAAACTGCTTAAGGGGATGGGATGAAACTTCACAAACTTTGAGAGCCTAATAGGCCACTGTCCAAGGCCCTTAACTCTTACATGGATTTGGACAGAATTATAGCCCTTTTTTAACTACATTATGTAGGCTCTTGTTTTACTATCAAGCACTGAGATTTGTTGGCTATGGTGTCCTGCCAACAGACAGCTCTTGCTAATTTGAATTTGACTGCTTGTTTTATTAACTTACTGTTCAAATATAAAATGTATGATACTTTAATTCCATTGTATTGTATCTGTGAGGATTTATTTCAGAGTTTCTGTTTCATTTCAGTGCATCAGGTCAAGGTCAATCAATTTAAGAGTAAAAAGAAGAAAAGAAGAACAAGGTAAGATAATCATCTTTTCTACTTTTCCTGTTTATTTCCCCTTTTTACTTCCAAATTTTCATTTTGCGCAATTCAGCTAAAGGAAACCTTAAATATATTTCTCCAAGTCCTGATATTAGATGTCTTTTCTTGGGTCTGTATATTTAAAATTTTTGGTTTATATTTTTCTGTAGTATATTCATTCTATTGAATTCAATATAGAAATTATAGGAAGAAAATTATTTAACAAAAAAAAGATGCAAATATTAGCTAGAAAACGCTTATTTTTGACAGTCAGACTGTTTATTCCTTTCTGAGTGAATAGTCTCACGATAAGTGTGGTGGAAAATAAGTTAAAAAAATGTTTAGTCCAATCTGATAAAAAAAATGAAGCAAACCTAAAAGATTTATGCTCCAGTATGACAATTTTATTTGAGAGAAATTTTTGTGTTGTAGATACAGGTACATTTATGTGTCAAGACTAATTACACAAGGCACCAGATTTAAATTTAACTTTGACTTTAATGAAAATCAATCCTGATGACTTCTGGAAGTCGTAAAATTTTATACTCAGTATCATTGCATTTTAATGAATAATGGATTAATGCTCAACTCGATGTTCACGAAGCCATCTTAAAAATTGGTTGCTATAGTTTCACAAGGAAAAGACAAGTGTGTAATGGTTGCCATAGTTTCGCAAGGAAAAGTAAATTGTGTCAGAAGGGTGACATTTAAGGTCATTACAGTCATTTAAGAGAAGTATTCTGTTTGTATGTGTCAAACAGTAATATGTGCTCCATGAAAAATGAACTGCGGGCAAACTTACTAGCTATTATGGTGTGTTAATAGTTTGTGTCACGCTTGGCAACTTTCACTCCCCAACCTTGCTGTACAATACTAATGTACATGTATGGTTCAAGTCATGACGCTTTTAGAGATTTTTCTGTTTAACATTAGGTTTATATTCAATTAGTTTTTAGCTCGACTATACGAAGTATATGGAGAGCTGTCCTACTCGCCCCGGCGTCGGCGTCCGCGTCCAGATTTTAGATTAAAGTTTTGGTGCAGTAAAATAGTTTTCACTATAACTTTGTCATTTTTTAAGGTATCAACTTCAAACTTCAAATATATGTTCCTTATCATCAACCACATCTTATGTGACAAGGTTCATAACTCTAGCACCAATATTTTAAGATTTATCTCCCCTTGAACTTAGAATTTTCCTTAAAAATACTATTTTTTACTGTTACTTCTTTATTTCTTAAGGGATCAACCTCATACTTCAAATATATGTACCTTATCATCATCCACATCTTATGTGACAAGGTTCATAACTCTAGCACCAATATTTTCAGATTTATCTCCCCTTGAACTTAGAATTTTCCTTAAAAAATACTATTTTTTACTGTTACTTCTTTATTTCATAAGGGATCAACCTCATACTTTAAATATATTTACGTTATCATCATCTACATCTTATTCGACAAGGTTCATAACTCTAGCACCAATATTGCAAGAATTATCTCCCCATAAACTTAGATTTTTTTACTAGAAAAATGTTATTTTTTATTATAACTTTTTTATTTTTAAAGGTATCTACCTCTAACTTCAAATACTTATTCCTTATCATCAATTACATTTTATGTGACAATGTTCATAACTCTTGAAGCAATATTTACAGATTTATCTCTCTTTGAACTTAGGATTTTCTTTAAGAAATATAATAACTTCTTTACTTTTTAAGGTATCTACTTCAAACTTCAATTATATATTTCTTATCATTACACAAATGTTGTGTGGCAAGGTCCATAACTCTAGCATGACTATTTCTAGAATTATTCCCCTTGATCTTGGAATTTATGTTAACAAATGTTATTTTTTTACTATAACTTAATACATAATTATACATAATTTATTTTTCTTTCATAGTTTTGTCCTCCTTACTGCGTCCAGTATTTTATTAGTCGAGCTTCGCTGTCTCCTGTGACAGCTCTTGTTGGTTGTATGAAAGTATGTGAATATTTCCTGCTGATGCTTAATATTTATTGAAGAGCAATGTTTGTGAGGAATTTGTTATTTACAGTTGCGACTGTATATTATACAAAAAATAAAGAGTTTGAATGCTAATCACAAGTGTGTACACTTGACATGCTATGTTTACTTAATTTGTGCTTTATAATAGTGATCACTGCTTGTATTGACAACTTTATATATTACTTATCATCTTTAAGCTAGGTTTCTTGATTATTAGGATGAATTATAATTTTTGCAATCTAAGTTCTAATAGAATTTCTAAATAAAGCAACATTTTGATAAGTATTAAAGTAAATTTGCTGGAAGTAAGTAAATTTGCTGATCAGTATATTTCATTGGTCAGTTTTTAGCGGTGTAAAATAATATACATGACATACATATTTAAAGCCATTTTTAAATGATATATTATTCTAATAGGGTTGCATGTTGGTATCAAAAGTATAGTGAAATATAAAGGGAAAGATAATGACTGTACTTTATTGACTGGTTCACATATCCTTGTTATCTGTTATATGATACTGTGTTAAATGTTAGATATTTTACATGTACCGAGGTTTACAGTATAGAAATGACTAATCCTTGTGGTCTACAAAATTCATTACATGTAGTTTGATTGCACATGCCTTTATGCATGCACTTGAGAAAGATATCATACTTGCCTATACATGCAGTATTTTACAATTACTGTTTTCAAAGTCTAATTAATTTGATTGGTATGTATAGTTTTTATTTATTCAAAAGCTTCATTGTCAACATAGAATACATGTACATCTACATCAGAGCTTAATCAAATGCTGTCTATATTTCATATTTCATTCAACATCAATCTATCACCAATCCTTTTCTATTAAATATTTCAAGTATTCCATTTTTACATGGTCCCCTTTTCAAAGTACTTTTACCCGGTAATGCTCTGTTAAAAAATGTTTCATATTTGTCAATTGAAAATGGTTCAAAGAATTCTAATAAATGTACAACTATTAATGCCGGGGTAAAATAATTTATTAAGGTACTATTAAAGTGGTACTTGGATGACACTGTATCAACCTGTTTGTCAACAAAATTCTACTTTGTACCTATGTTGTTGTATTCATGCATTTTATATGCTTAACAAGGCCAATTACCAGAGTAACTGTTATGTACTTGATTCCAGCAGTTTCCAGGGAAAAAAAAAATTATAAGCTTTTCGAAATTCATAGCTGGAGTAAATGCCAATTTTTTTAAGAAAGATGTGTTTAGAGGATTTGTTGCTCGCTCTCCTTTGATATTCATATTGATCATGTCCTTTTGCTAACTAATTTTTTGCATCCTTTTCTTAATGTGCGTGTTCTCAGAAAGACAGATAATTTGAGAATCTTGCAGGACAAGAGATTTAAATAATGGGTTTATGAACAGCTGATTTCTTGCTTGTAGTATTTAGTGATATCATATCTTTATAAGGAAATAAACTTTTCTAGAATTAGTTGTTAAGTGCAGAAATAATAAGATTAATCTTCTAATTTCAAACCGTCAAATTTTTTGTTTTATACTTGTGAGTTGGGAACTTATTTTGTGTATATAGAGGTTTGATCACTGAACAAGTTATTTAACTGCTGGTGTACTGGAATATATATATATGTGTGTATGTGTGTGTTATTGACAGTCTAGGTTCTCTCAGATGAATAAAAAAAAACAACAACACGAAGCTGGAAAAATAAACCTTAAGATAAAATGATGAGAAAGCGAGATATATTGTTGTAACAACTGTCCTGAAACCTTCAGATAATGAAAAAACAGTGAGATTGGTTTTGTGTCTCGGATAGTGACTGTGTTATTGACAGGACTTTCATTAACGGCCAGTAAGTATAGACTGCTTGTACGGCCACGGGCAAATTACTATCATCTACATGTATTACAGAAACTTCACTAAATGCTATGTCTATTACAGATTCAACTTTAGCTTGACTAATTTTAAAAGCTAAGATTTTTTTTTTGAGGAAAATTATGAAAAAGTACATATCATTTTTTTGTTTCTTTGAAGGTTAAATGTAATTTCTGTTAAAATTCAAGATTTCAGATCTCTTAGTTTATCGCTGGGACTCAATAGAATTTAAAGGTGATGTTTTGTTTTTCCTTTTCTTTATTTCTTTGTTTAAAATTTGATTGGTTGAATTCATAGCTCAATTATCAGGTTATATTTCATTGCTGCAAATTAAGGGCATTTTTAAAAAAAATATAACCATTTATTATAGCTTCTGTTTTACATCAAACTTCAAAATTAGCACACTTTCTGTTTGAAGAGTTCCTATTTGACATCATTTTGATGCATGCAATTATTAAGAATGCTTGTGATAATCATCTTAAGTAATTTGATTACAGTTTTTCTTGGAAGAAGAATTATACTGTTATTGTAATATATGCAAAAATTAAGCATGTACAGTGTCTTGCATATGAATTATAAGAGATATTAGGTAATTAAAAGTAGTATGGATTAATTTTATTACAAGATATTATTATCATCTGAAAAACTGCTCTTAATCTAGTGTTTCATTTCACATTCCATTTGACATTTTTCCTTAATATGGCTGTTTCCCTGGAGATCTGTGGTCAAGTCACCTCATAAGTATCAAGTCTTAAGCCAATTTTCTTGCTGTATTCAATTCCTGTGGGGCATCAAATACTTTATCAAGGATGAAATATATATTACCTTATTGATCTGTTTCCCATCTAAAAGCATTCCTCATGATATTGTAAGAGGAGGAAGTGAGGAATTGTACCTGTGGAGTAGTCTGGCAATGTTTAGTCTGTCAGAAATGCTAGACAGTTTAACCTTTGACCTCCTACATTAATACAATGGACATGTCCTAGCTGCAGCTTTAAATTTGGAAATAGTCCAGTTCTGCTTTGAAGGTTGAGGGGTTTCAACATCAATCTTAAATGTGCAGTCTGATAAAAATGCGTGAGCAGGCTTGCCTGGCTCCGTACTAGTGATAGTATAATTAAAAACT